GAAGAAGTCTCTTGGAGGAGAGACAAAATGTTTCACTAAAGAAGAACCAGAGGACCTACTTGTTTTTTCTTTTTGTTCTTTTATTTCCATATTTACTTCATTTTTTTTTCATATTTTAAAAGTAATTGATATTTTTTGTGCAACAATTTATTACATTTTTCCCAAGGTTCTTTGTCCCTTCTTTATACATTCAACTAGCTTTATCTTTATTTTTTTCTTCAACCAGAAACAACTGACTCTAACTCTCAGACAGTGACAGGTGGTCTGGGTCGGACACTGACGACCTTTGACCTGGAAGTTGTTCTGGGCTCTTTGCTTACTGTTAACTGTCTCTTCTGTTCATCAATGTTTTTGCCTCTTGTGACCACATCTGGACAGGTGAGTTACAGTCACGTGGACCTTAAATAATAAATTAGTAATAAATATATCATTTAAATAAAAACTATTCCGAATACTCTGCAGCTGTAGTCACAGGAACATCAACATACATGTCAAGTTGTACGGACTGTCTGTAAATTTTATTTTACGGCTCAGAGCTGGTAGGATGTGAAAAAAATAAATAAATAAAATTTAAACAACCATTTACTAGACCTCTGTGCTGCTAGAAATACGTCCCCCACCTCCCCCTGTCCTCACCTGTGCTGCAGGCGCTGTTATCTCTGCTTTTAACCCCCCCACCTTGCATGTGAGTAATATGGGTTTTCATGTGAAAGTTTTGTATCGTTGAGGGTGAAGATGCAGGTACAGTAAAAGCATCTGAAGGGGTTGACATGTATGCATCATGCTACTTGGAGATAAATTTATGGTCTTCATTTTTAACGTAACTGTAAATCATTTTCTTTCTAAGCTCCTGAGACTCTCTGTCCTCAGCTTTCTGTGCTCCGTGTTCAGTGTGAAACACACCATGAAAGCAAACAGCCCTGTTGCCACTTTTTACCCTTCAAACAGACAAACTGGCTGATTATTAGCTTGAAGACACCTGTGATGCTTACAGGACCCACCTTAGTTCAACATGTCCCTGTGGTCAAACTACATTAAAGTGGCTGTGACGCAAATTCTTCAAATAAAAAAACGTCAAAGAAAACAAATTTATATTTAAGAAAGTTGGAACAATACACACAATTTAACCCATTTTGTCCCATAACTGGCATATTTTCTTTTGAACTTGGCTCAACCAAAGTGAAACAGGAAGTGACATCAAAGGGGAACTCTTTAAGAAAAAACTCTCTGGTCTTTGTTTATTGAAACATTATTTGAACTCTGACTCTTCTTCATCTCTGATAGAGACTCAAAATAATCAACATCAGATTCTTGTCTGCAGTCTGGGTTGTTGGCTGTTTACATGCAGACATTCCCCTGTGACATCACTTCCTGTTACGCAGGCAAATACCTCAACTGTTCATCTCAGTGACGTGAAATTTCTTTTGCAATATTTTATCAATGTCCTCTTTCTAAAAATGCATTCATATATATCACAAAAATTTGATGTCACAGGCACTTTAATATTTCTAGGAGTATCATCCTTTTTTGTCAAGGCCTGTTTAATTAGTTTGTTTTTTAAATATTTTGTTCAACCAAAATTCAAAAGTACTGTCTGAAAATCAAATAATTAAAATCAGCCATTTTTTAAAAAAGTTTCAAGTTATTTCAGTGACATTTACAGTTTTTATTGTTTTCCTTTCTTTAGCAAAAAGTTACAAACAATTCAGTCTATTTAAAATGTCGTACAGTTGGACAATTAATCTACAACCGTTTAACCTTTGGAGCCAGCCTGATACAAGATGGCCTCCACAGCTAACTGACCTCAGCAAACACAAAACTGGCTATAGTTAAGTTAGTTTTAAGGATACTGAGCTAATTTTTCTTGTGGTGGTTACTGACAGTCATATCCAAAACATACTCCAAGCTCTGACAAATTGCACAATGCCCCATGAGATTCTGCATCAACTGTTGTGGAGGTTTGACCAAAACTAAAACCATTTTTCAGTTTAAAGTGGTTGCTTTGTGTGTGCAGGGTGGTGGGTGATCTGCATTTCTTTAAGAAACACTGGGCCTAATGCAGGACCATGTTCGTATTCTTATCSTAAATTTCTCTTACTTTTGTTCGTACAAAGGGTTCGTACGAACATGTCACGTCAGATTCAACAAACTCTTCTAT